AAATTGGAACAAAATGCTACTCGTTTTACGAGAAGTAGGTGTCGAGCAACAAGACCTAAGAATTATCCACAGTCTGTATATGAACCAGACAGCTTGCATTAAGAAAGGAGAAATCACAACTAACGCTCAAATAAAACAAAGGAGTTCGACAAGGATGTACGTTATCACCACCACTGTTTAACTGCTACAATCAAAAAAGTTATAAATACAGTAAAAGCTAAACTAACAAGACTAAAAATTGGAATCGAAATTGTTTCAATGATACGATTTGTCGATGACATTGTGGTAATAGCAGAAAGTGAAGGGGACATACAGCGTGCAGTTGAATAAATGGATGAAATGCTCAGAACATCAGAAATGAAAATAAATAGTACAAAAACGAAGATCTTTGTCTGCGCCAGAGACCTAAAAGTAAAAGCTGATGTAGTAAAAAACTAGAATAAGTAGAGGAAATGTTATACCTAGGGAGCAAAATCACATCTGATGGCAAGAGTGTCCACGAGATAAAACAACGCATAGCATTAGCAAAAACTGCCTTAGTAAAAAACATAAGTTGCTCACTTCAAAGAAGATACATCTCAGTATCAAGAAGAGACTTATAAAAACATATGTATGGATTGTTGCAACATACGGATGTGAAACTTGGGTAATAAATGATACCGAAAAGAAAAAAACTTCGAAATGTGGTGTTGGAGACGTATGGAAAAGATAAGCTGGATAGAGCGGATAACGAATGAAGAAGTACTTAGAACAGTGGAAGAAAAACGTACACTCATAGATGTGATTAGAGAAAGACGCTGGAAAATGGTCGGACATGCCATGAGACATCCAGAAGAACTGCATAATATAATATTATAGGGTATGATAGAAGGAAAGAAAACTGCAAGACGTCCCCCAAATTAAATTTGATGCAAAAGTTAAAACCTTTAAGGAACTTAAAGATAAGGCGAGTAACCGGTTAGAATGGAGAACTGGAGTTGTAAACCAACTTTCGGGTTGAAAAAAAAAAAAATGTTTTATAATATTATAGGTTCAGTTAATTTATATTTTATAGAATTATAATAATTTTACAACGTAAATTCATAAAATGATAATTAAATGATTAAAAAATAACATTGGTGAATATATTTTAAAAATATATAACAATAACCGCATTAAATGTTTCAGAAAACTTCATAGTATTCAATAATTGTACGAGTATCGTAATACCATTAAAACTGATCGTAATAAATAAAATTGTAAACATATGAGCATAAATCAGAACAATATAATAAATTTACATATTTTCGAAATAAAAATTTTATGGACAGTTTTTGGTACATGTGTCATGAAAGTATAGTATCAGAAAAAAATAAAGATCTAGAGTAATTTTATTAGAGACCTAGTACAAGGAATAAATAAAAGACAACTACAGCGAATAGGACATTAGCAGAGAAAAAAAAATGTGGCTGTAGCAAAAGTACCAGTAATGTATTGAAAAAAAATTGTCCTTAGATTAAAAAAAGATGAAAAAAGAGACCAAGTTGATTAGATAAAGTTTTTAGTTAACAAGTAAATAAAAAAATAACTGTTCTCGAAAGTTAGTCAAATGTGTACACAATTTGATTTAATAAATACATTTATTTTATTTTATAAATTAAAAACAAATATTGGAGTGAAAATAAATGGACTCAATCTCAAATACGAAGTCTTGACAACTTGTTTTATATTTGATGTACCTAGTGTGTAGTCATACATATTCGAAACCAATATTTTTTTGCTCCCTCTGTATAATGAATAAATTAATACTTAAATCAAGTTTAATGTAAACGAGTCTCGGGTGATTGATTATAATATAATTATGATTAAATTACTGGCGTTAATGTGAAAACGTTTTTTCATCTGGGATATCGATGAATGGGTTAAAAAAATATGCTATGAAACGAAATGTATACAAATAACTTTAGAACAAAATCTACGTGAAGAACGTTTAGTAAATTATTAAAATTAATTTCGGAGAGAGAAATTTTAAATATATTTTACCCTCTTCCGTTAAACATATTCTTGATTGACATTATTTTGTTTTGGATGGCTGACTAGACTAAGATATTAAATCATCAATCAAACTGTGGCACATCGTGGAAGATACGACATAACATCACCGTCAGGTATCTATATTGTATTGAAACGTGTTTATCTTTGAAATACTGGAAGTACTGGGACATAATATCATCAGTTATATGAAAATATATTATTAGAAAGTCTAGTAGGTATACATTTTTGTTCTACTTTTAATAATATTGGCTGATTATATTATATTTTATAATAAGCTACATTATTATAATATTACCATTTACCAACGTTAAGCCCGTTCATAGGATTTGAGAAGTCCAGTGCGAAATTATAAATATTTTTATATTTTATTGTATTATAATTTCGTATTTTTTTTTTTTGCACGTGAGGTATCAAATCTAAGTAAAAAGCGTGAAACCTAGGGTCAGAGTCTTGCCCACTTTCATCTTAGGACAGCCCGGGTCAAAACAAAATTATACAAAGACCGCATCAGTTTCGCATAGATTATGTTTTAAAAGACGAGAACCTACTATAAGTATAGGTAATCATTATAAGGCTATGAATTGGTGGGAAAATGCGTTTATTTTAGCTGATTGTGAAATGAAGCTTTCTAAGTATAGTGTTTGAATTATGTAACAACAAATTAATTTATGAAATTTTTATTTTGCATTTTTTGATGTTTGTGTTTTTAATGTCATTTTTGAACTTTTAAAGTCATATTTTCCCTTTTGGTTAATTTTCCGATATTTTCAATTAAATTCCGTCAATTTACATCTTTACATAAAAAAACGGTTTGTTTCAAAACAAGCTGTATTATAATTTTTTTTATTACATAAAGAAATTTGCATATTATGCATATAATATACTAACAACTGTGATATCAAACAAAATATAAAAATTAAATTAAAAACCATTTTAAGTGCATTTTATATTGCATTTTTTTAGACTTAAAATACATATTTTATTGCATTTTTATGCACTTTTTGTATATTTTGAATGTCATTTTTAAAGTTTTTCACTATATTAAATTCATAGCCCTAGTATAGTATACAGTATTTTTTTACCTAATCAAACTTTTAAGTATTTCTTTATTAATTAGGTAAGATACTTATAATAGATATATGTACTTACTAGTGATAAAATGTAAATCCGGGTTAACCGAAAATCCGAATTTTAGATTTCAAAATATTATATTTTTTTTTTTTTTTTTTAATCTTTTATAATATATATAATATTGTATAAATCCCTCGCTACAAGTATACTCTAAAATGTGTATTAAATAATTTTCCAAAAAAAAAAAAATGTTTTTAATATATTTTCCAGTGGCCACCTATCACCCATTTTACTTAGAGTAATTATAATAAACAAATTATTAATTATTCATATTATATTAATATTTTACACTAAATACATTATATTATGATTTTTTGAATTGAATAAAAATATCTAAAAGAAGCCAAAAGAAAAACTTCAAAATCTAAAACTCAGATTTTAAACACATTTTTGATTTCAGATTCCGAAAATCAGAATTATCAAAATTCGGCAAATCCGGATTTTTCAACCACCAGTACCTATAACCTAATACCGCCTTGTAACTACCATTTGTTAAATTTCTTTAAGAAAAATACTTAAAATAAATTACGTATAAACATACTACAGAATGATATAATGTTTAAATGTGATGTTTAATGTCTAAATTTATTATATATAGAACTTTTACCTTAAAGAATAAATCAGAAATTAAAATATTTAAATGTACCAATGAAATATAGGTAACTATGGAAATTTTAAAAAATAAAAAGCCGATCAACTTTGTCAAGCTAAAACTAAACTCAACTAAATGTATTTTTAAGAAATACATTTGTAAACAAATGGTGGTTATACTATTATACATTATGCACGAATAATCCGTTGTGTAGGACGAAAAAAATGTTGTATTCACATCGTTTAGTAATTAATTGCGGTATGTAACATTAACAAAGAAAATTACAACAAGGATAATGTTCGTTATGGTATTCGTTATAATGAGATTACTCGTGAATAAATTGCCAAAATATTGTACCCTAAAGTTGAAATACTTAAAATACTACATGCATTGAACGTAGGTATATACTTTATTACATGAATATAGATACCATGGTTACACATCGAGCAATAATAACATTACAACGGCATCAGTGTCCTTATCAAGAATTATAAATATGTCGCCTGCTCCTAATAAACGCTACTTATGAATACGTAGTATTTTTTTTATGTAATGCTATAAAACCCACAGAGTAATATGGAGAGGCTGTTCCGTATGTATGTTGAAACGCAAATAGTTTCTATTTTACAGTATACATACTTTTAAAGAAAACAATATTGTGAAAGATTCGGAACATTGGTTACCTCCACTGAAATATGTTATTAGTGATAAATCATAATTCCTATGTTGTCCTATTTAATCCTATGTAACATATTAAAGTACAGACAACGCATTGTACCAAATATTTTATGTTTTTTTTTTTTTTCTAAAATAATGGTACTGTAAAATAGAACCGTTTGCGCATCAACTCGTTACACAATTATTTTTTTGGTAGGCCAGGTGAGTTTAGTCTAAAAAATAAACGCTAAATACCTTAACAATTTTTACCCACGATATAATTTTAAAAATCCTATGGGGTTTTTGAGTTATTTATAGCTATTTATAATAGTTATAATATTTCTTTAGATAATAGACTTTCTAGGTTTTGGGTCGGTTTTGTGTTATTCAATTTTTTTGGGGGTTTTAATTAATTCTCGAAAACTATTTATATGGTTCACGACACACAATGTTTTACTGGTGCTTTAGTTTTTTTTGTTTTTTTTTTTATAATAAAATTACAGTTTTTTTAAAGACATACTGATTTTTAGTCTCTGACATAAATAATTATAGACCCGAATACCGGGATTCCACCCGACATCTCGTCGGACCAGAACTACCCTGAAGAGAATTTAACAATAGAAATATAAAAAAAATTACCAAATTGTTGACGTTTTGATAGTGTAATATTACAAAGGAACAAAAAATTATACATCGTTTAATTTAGATCGGGATAATTCATTAAAATGTGAAACAAATATTATGCTACTTACGGATTGGATGTCTAAATTATTGAAGATTCGTATTTATAGGTAGATATTCAATTATACAGAGTCATTATATATTTATGTTCGGTGATAATATTATTTGTACTTCATCTGCAATACAAACAGTTATATAATATTAATACTATTTGATTTATACAGTTAACAATTATTGTTAATATAATATTATGTAAATATACAATTTTCAATACCCTTTCGCAGCGCACTACAACAGTACGAAGACAATAATATGTATATTAATTTACCAACCAAAATATTATTATGTTTTATTTTCGAATACCTAAATGCCAAATAATTAGTGAGAACGAAATCCCGTTAGAACAATAATAATATTATTCGCAATGTTTTATTATTCATAATTAATTTGTCATGATTAAAAATTTAACTTTAGGGTAGTAATTTAATAAACTCATTGGTTAGTCGATGAATTTTTCTCGTTTTTATAATTTTGGGTTTACAGCGAATAATTATTGCAATTAAAAATTAAGGATGATAATTAATACCGATGAATTTGTCGAATAATTTCATTATGTTTCGGTCCGTTCAAAATAGTACCTATATTGATAATATTATTTGTACTTTATTTATGGACAATACTTACCAATAATGTGCTAGTTTTTAATTTGACGCTACACCCGCATGTGTAAGGTAGCCAGATTAAAAATACGGTATTTTGGAAC